CTGGTCCAATGGAAGTCCGACTGCCACTTCTTCAACGGGACGCAGCAGGTGCGATTCCTGTTCAGGTACTTCTACGACCGGCAGGAGTTTGTCTGCTTCGACAGCGACGTCGGGAAGTTCGTGGCCGTCACCCCGCTGGGGCAGCTCTCGGCCGACTATTGGAACAGCCGCCAGGACTATCTGCAGGACAAGAGGGCTGAAGTGGATCGCTTCTGCCGGCACAACTACGAGGTGGCCAAGACGGGGCTTGTGGTTGGCCGGAGAGGTGAGTCCGGGCGGGGCTTCTGGGGAGGAAATACCGGCCCCTCCCCCTTCATTCAATCCATTCAGGTTTTTTATTTAACTACTAAGATTAATCTCTACATTTTGAACATGTTTTCACTAAAATCGCCTGGTTTTAGATTTTGAATTTCTGCTGGTTGAAATCTGTTCCCTCCATTTCCTTGTTAAAAGTATTTTCTCACTCAGGATAATTTTCTTGTAAAGAAAAGAAAAAAGGCATTGTCATGAATTTCAGTTTGGAAAAACTGCCTCCTTTTACCTCTTTTGCAAAGATTTTTAATGTTCCAAGATACAAATGTGCTTCCGGGGAAGAAAAAGCCACAAGTGTACTATTTATCTGAGCGGCAACCAGACTAGATCCCAGGTCTTCATTGCAAATAACCAAAACTTTTAAAAGTTGAATCATGTTAAATGTTATTCACTGTGAGTAAAAAAAATCTGTCAGTAAGAAACTCTATTAACAAACTACTTACACAAAATAGCCAATTATTGAAAAATAATCGAGATTAAAAATCAGATCCAAACATACCTTGCAGCCCCCCCAGAAGCCGTTTAGGAGCCATTCGCCTCCCCCCAAAGGAGCAGAAGATGCAGAAGCATTTTGATTTTCGCAGCCGAGGAGGGAGAGAATCAGCCTCGTCTCACCCACTGACGTCTTCCCGGAAGGCCACGAGCTTCATCGATCCCCCCCAACTCCCCGACCCACACGCTGAAGGGCACAAGGACCCAGGACAGACCCTGGGACGCCTCCCAAGACCCCCTTCCTGGCTGGAGGGAGCCCTGAAGGACCCTCTTTGGGGGCCCATCCAGCCCTCCCTTCATCCGTCCAGGAATTGTGCCAGTTTGAGCCACACTTTTCTCCCTTAAATCTTGTTCTGCTCTTCTCTGCTTATTTCTCTGTGTTGTCCAGATCAAGTGGGACTTTATTCATTTTCTCGAATATGAAATACGAATATAAATATTCTCCTTCTCCCTCCCCTCCAGCCAAGCCCACCGTCACCATCTCCCCCACCAAGACGGACCCCGGTTCCCCCAACACCATCCTCCTCTGCACCGCGACCGGCTTCTACCCCCTGGAGATCGACGTCCAGTGGCTGAAGAACGGGCGGCCGGAGAAGGAGGGCGTCGCCTTCGGGGAGGAGCTCCAGAGCGGGGACTGGACCTACCAGCTCCAGGTGCTTCTGGAGACCCATCCCCAGCGTGGGGACGTCTACGCTTGCGAGGTGGGGCACGCCA